AGCCAGCGCCTGATCCTGAATTGCTTGTGCCCCTAGATTCCCCACGGCGTCCACTGCAGCTCTCCTCAAAGAGGATTTTAAAATAACAACTACAGAACTGTTTTAAAGAAGAAGGGCGTGGCTCGAGAGCACAGCTTCCTGCTACTTTGTATCCTCCATCTCAGAGCTCTTGGTCTGGAGGGGAAGTAGAGTCTCTGGGTTTGTGTATATTAGGCTATGTCTATACTGCACAGTTAACCCAAGTAATCACACCTGAATCTGAGCCTAGCTTGGATGTGATCTTCCCCCACTTCACAGATCTACCCACATGACTGCTTCCTCACCATTTGTGCACTTGCCTGTGTGTCTGGGGCACATCCCATGGCTCTTTGTTCTGAGATGCACTAGGAACTTTCAATTGTGAGAACACTTGTCTATCCTGGGGGCGGGGGAGATGGGAAGGGAGAAACTGTGGGAAGTGCATAGGGCTCAGTGATTTTTTTTGTGGGGGGGAGGAGGAGTAAGAGAGCCGGTATATCCTCTGCAAAGTGAGCAGGTACCAGCCCAACTTAAAGTGGAGCCCGGGCTCTCACCCATGGCCTCCACTCAGCCAGCTAGCTTAGGCTTAAAGCTCCTCCAAACCTGGATAGATGGTACAGGGGATAAGGCTTAACCAGGGCTCTTACCCAGATTTTGTCCAGCATAGACATTCGTAAAAAAACGCTGTGCCAGTGTACCTATTTTTAAAATGGATCTAGTTACATCAAAGCATATCCCTAAAATAGTGTATTTGAACCAGTTTTAAAAAAAATAAATAAAACCCACACTTGAACCAATTCGGCAATTCAGTAAGCATTTGCTTTGATATTATTTTTAGCCTAAATTAAAGGCAGTGAAAGATTTCATAAAAAATGGTCATACTGAGTCAGACCAATGGTCTGTCTAGCCCAGTATCTTGTCTGATGACAGTGGCCAATGCCAGGTGCTTCACAGGGAATGAACATAACAGGTAGTCATCAAGTGATCCATCCCATTACCCATTCCCAGCTTCCGGGAGCAAACAGAGGCTAGGGACACTTCAGAGCATAGTTTTGCATCCCTGTCCATCCTGGCTAATTGTCCGCCTTGGCTGTCAATGGCTATGTGTGTGGGAGTAGGGAGGAAGAATTATAGGCTCTAATTGTGTTCATTAGAGCTTCAGGAGTCCTAGAAGTATCATGTTAGAAGTTTCATCACTTGATGTATTTAGTAGCAATGTAAACAAGATACTCAATGTATTATAGAAAAACCAATACTGAATGGTCAAGGGATGTCTCTTTTCCATTTCTAGCTTCTATCAACACCATCTTTTGGAGTTTTCATGTCACACACTGCTCAGTGTATGCTCAGTCCATTGTCCCTTGTTCCTTTTTAGAACCTAAGTCTTTCAGGACAATGAACTACTGTTGTGCACCAACCACATTGTAGATTTAGGGCATCAGATACAACTACAATGACATCCATTTCTTACTTCTGACTAAAGATCAGGCCAAGTTTCTCTTCTCCCGCCAAAAATGAATAGGTTCTTCAGTCTGGACATAGTGATTACTCAGTTACCTTTCAGAGTGGTAGCTGTGTTAGTCTGTATCCGCAAAAACAATGAGGAGTCCTTGTGGCACCTTAAAGACTAACAAATTTAGTTGGGCATAAGCTTTCATGGACTAGAACCCACTTCATCAGATGCATGGAGTGTCAACTGTGGGGTGGCAAACCTGACTGGCATTTTTGAGGTTAGTTTTGATTGTTTTAGAGAGACAGTTGGAGAAAAGTGTGAAGAAAATAAAGTGAAAAGGGGCTTGGAGAGAAATGGGAGAAAAGACAATGGGGCTCAATAAAGAGTAGGAAAGGCATGAGGAAGAAAGGAGACAGCAGGGATTCATTTGCTGTGTAATGTGGAAATTCAGGGCTGTGGCCTTTTGTAAGTTCATGACAGTATAAAACAATTTTAATCAAAACATTTCGCTCCCCCCCACCCCCATTAGGGAAAGAAAAGCAGTTGTACAACTAGGGCTGGTGATTTACTACTAAACACTGGATCACACAGTGAAGCTTTCAGTTCATCAGCAACAGGATCTGTCAGGGGGCCACTTTCTTTCATTTTGAGAAATGTAAATGTATTATTCTTTTGTTTAAAAAAAATTGAGGAGAGGTGATAAAAGAACGATGGAGAGTTTATTAATGTATACATTTGGGAGGGCCGGGAGGAGTCCTCCGTATCCCTGACTTCATCAGGTTAATTTATGAAAATGCAGCTATGCTGCTCTTTTTATTGTGTCCACTTCAAAGTTTGTAGGTCTCTCACCAAAGACTTTTCTGCTGATATCAAAGACTAGTTTTGGAGTCTGAGAGAGAAGTGAAAGTTGGGTAAAAACAAGACAGAACAAACAGAAAAGCCCTTCGTGTAATAATATTATCTTTCACTATTTCCATTTCCTATTGTATGATTTAAAGCAGGTGTTCACCCATGACAATTTTGCTCAAGCCAAGACCAAACTATTAAGCAAAAGTAGAACCTGATACCACCCGTTTTCACAACTGATATGCTAAACTATGAAAACACAGGTGTGAAATTTTAGATTTATTCTTTCCCTCAGCTCTTGATCTTATACAAAGAGGAAGTAATATTTCAGAAAGAGTGCGGAACCTGAGGTTCCCCCAACATCTAAATATCGTACAGGGGCTTAGAGTACATTTCATACCTGCATTCAAAAAGTTTGGGCTTTTTTACTAATTAAGGTTCCAGACATACAAGAGACTGTGCAGGCATATCTCTGCCCTTCTGTACAGCCCCATGAAAATCAATGGATCTGTGTGTGGCTGCACCCACCCACAGTCAACTGCAGGATCAGGGCCTACGTAACATTCTATGCAGATTCTATAAAGTCAATCAGGCTTTTCATACAGATTACATTCCCCACACACTAACTCAGTGAAAGTTGGTTATACTTGAGTAGGAATCACAAATGAGTTGTTAACCCATAGTCCCATGACACCCTTGTCATTTTGGTAAGTTTCTGGCTCATAAACCAACATTTCTTAAGTCTCTTATAAACGTCATTTCCACTTTTTTCTCAATAAAGGAACATTTTGGATGTCTGCACGTTTGGATGAAAGAGCAATAAAATCATTTATAAATCTCTGTACCTAGCCAAATACAGTACCGGAAAAATGTAAAAATTCACGCTTGAACACAACCTTTGTTCCTCAAGACAAGTTTTGACATAACTATTTAAGATGCTTCCAGGTTTATGTTTATCACACATGCAAGGTTTCTTCTGCATTTGTGATATTTATTACTAGATATGGGATTCTCAAACTTCATTGTACCGCAACCCCCTTTTGATGACAACAAATTACTACATAACCCCAGGAGGAGGGGCCAAAGTCTGAGCTGCACTACTGTGAGCTGGGGGGGGGCCAAAGCTGAAGTGCAAAGGCTTCAGCCCAAGGCAGGTGGCCTGTAACCCAAGCCCCATCACCCAGGGTTCAAGCCCTCAGGCTTCAGCTTTAACCCCAAGCAGTGGAGTTCGGGCTTTAGCTGCGGGCCTCAGAAAGTCTAAGCCAGCCCTGGCGAACCCATTAAAATGGGGTCCCGACCCACAGTTTGAGAACCACTACACTAGATAAATGAAACAGCAAGGTTCCTTTTTAAATATGACATCAGTTTTAAGTTGAGACCACACTAGAAAAAAAAATGATGATTCCTCAAATCTATTTAAGATGTTACAGAATTCCACATATGATATTCCATCTGCCTTTCCAAAATTCATTATTGAAGAAATTTGCATTAAACTAAAACTTTGACTCTCCATCAGCTTCTCTTACTTATCTCCAAATCAAATAACTGTGATGTCCCAAAGAAAAGTTTGCTATCAGGTAGCAAAGAGCCTGTTTTCCACATCAATAAAACAAGTTCATGAATGGGTAAGACATACAGAAAATGAAATCTATAACTGACTCAAAATGGAATATTCTCTCCAAAATGAGTCAATTGGTCTTTAGAGTATCCTTAAGCTATACTTACTGAATTAGCTAAAGATTTAATTGAAGATACCCTGTATAAAGGTATATACATGAACACAGGTTAGCATGATAGGTATTTTTTATTTTTTCAGGATTCAGTTCTTATATGGCACTAACTTTTCTGGTTTTCCTATCAGATAAAAAAATGTATGGGCTGCATGATCATAGGCCTGCAGTCAGGAGAGCAATTTTCTGTATTTAAATAATTGCCCCTGCAAATGGAGAGAAACGTTCTTTGGCTGGGGGGCTAGGGAAGGACAGTGGGTGATGGCAGTGAGTTGGTTAGTAAGCCAGTCATTCAGTGCCTCTTATTTTGTACGAGTTTATTCTGGTCATATTAAACAACACTTCCTCTAACCTTCTACTTTAAAAAACAGAAACAAGTTACCCAACTTCCTCCCAGCCACCACTTTCACACACATCCTCCACCACTACCCACATTTACGAGTCTTTGAACGCTAACAGTAAAGCTAGTAAACCTGAGCGAGAACCAGGGAAGGGCCATGCATCATGCTCTGTGGGTCTGGAGATCTTCACCTTGTATTCTAATCGGATCCAACTCGGAGCCCCAATTAACTGGCCCAACTCTCGCTCCCTTGAGAAGCTAGCAGCAGCTTGAGGGGCAAAGTCAACATAATTCAAGCAGATCCTGCACAACATAAGATTTAGGGGTGCGTGTTGTGTGTGTGTGTGGGGGGGTGGTTCCCACTCCGCCCCTCCCGCATTAGCTATGACTGAACCAGGAGGTGCATACTCCGTGTAGTGAGTTTATCTATCCCCTCCCGATCAGACAATATAGACAGGACAGCGGCGGCAATGGATCTGGAGGAAGGAGGGAGAGGAGAGCAGCCAGGGCAGCTGCTATATAGGAAAAGAACAATGAGGAGCAGCAGCGGGGAGCTGGGGCGCTGTTCGCCCCAGGAGCGCCCGGAGCAGGTAACCCAGCGGCCCGCCCTTACCTTTTTCACTTTGCTCTCCAAGTCCATTGTCTCTCTCCGCTAGGAGCAAGGCTGGGCGAGCGAAGGGTCAGAGCAGGGAGACGCTCACCAGCGGCACGCGGATGTGGTGGGGGCTGCGCTAGCCTCACGCCTGCTTGCACCCAGCCAGCCGCTGCAGCCAGCGTAGCTCTTGCACTCAAACTTCCGCTGCCCTGCGGCAGTGGCTGCCGTGGAGGGAGTAGAAAGGGAACAAAGGCAGCTCCCCAGCCAATCCCCCTCTAGCGGCTCCCTGGTCTGCGAGCCAATCAGAGTCTCACACCGGGCTCCGGCTAGCTTGCCGGCTGAGCAGCCGCAGCTCGGGGCTCGCAAAAGGCTCGACTCGGGGGGGAGGGGTGCCGGACTGCCGCCTCCCCGGTTCGGCGCTGTGCAGCCGCAGCACCGGCAGACCGTGGCAGCCCTCTGCGTGCTCGCTGCCAGGTGTCGGTCTGGGAGGAGCTGCGAAGTTGGATGGGGGCAGAGTGGTCTGTGAGTTTGGCTTTTGAATCATTCACAGACTGAGTCAGCTGATAAGGTCATGGAGAAGGTATTTGCTGGCACAACTCTCCAGCTTTGGGCAAATCCGCCTGGAAGTTTGGTTCCTCCCAAAGAAGGGGAAATGGCCTGAAAGCTAGTGATGTATTGGCAGGCGACAGGATCACGGCCTGCCTCTCTAAAACTGTCCTCATATGTTGGATAACTTCCCAGCCAGAAACTAGTCTCTGTTTTGATTTCTGGGGTTTGCCTTGTCCTTTGATAAATGTATTTCCTCTGCCTTCAGCTCTACTGCCTGTGGGCAGCTTGCCCCACTCTAAGGAATTTCACCGGTAAATCACTGCGGTCACAAAGCAGCTCAACTGAATGTCAAGATGACACAAGCTCTGTGCAAAGAAAACGTCAGAGGGTTAGATTTTGGCTCTGTCTATGCTACAGTTTGCGCCATCTGGCTAATTGTAGGCTGCTTGGCTGGGGCATCGCTTTTTTGCTCTTTTATGATTTGTTTATTGTATTCTAATTTGTATTCTAATAGCGCCTAGAGGCGATTAGAAAATTGGGGAGTTAGGCACTGAGGGATTTAGTCAGATTTTTCAAGGTATGTAGGTATATAAAACTCCATTGGCATTCGGCACCCGGACACCCAGGCACTTCTAAAAATTCCATTAACAATGGGATTTACAAAAGTACTTAGGGGTGGAATCCACAAAGGGATTTAGGCATTGCAACACTCTCCTAATTTGTAGGCACCTACAAAATCACAAGAACAGCCCTCAAGTGAGCTGTAGCTCACGAAAGCTTATGCTCAAATAAATTTGTTAGTCTCTAAGGTGCCACAAGTACTCCTTTTCTTTTTAAGAACAGTTCTGTGATCCACAAAGCAGAGTTAGACACCTAGACTCTATAGAATGGGGAGAGAGAGGTGCCTTAAAATGTGATCTACAAAAGAGAGCATGCCTAACCTGACTAATGGGAGATGCTGATGTGTTAAGCCCTGCCCCTTTTTCAGAAACAGGCGCCTAAATCCTGGCTGCAGGGAGATGTCTAGCTCTGCTAGTGATCCACATCCAGGACCTGTCTCCGTGCTTAGGTGCCTACATAGTTTCTTGGGGGAAACAGTTATGGGCCTGTCTTGAACCACATAAAGATAGAGGTGGTACCCCCCTTATAACTTTTATCCCAGTGGCTAGAGCATTCATCTGGGAGGTGGAAACCCAGGGTTCAATTCCTGCAACCCTACCTCTCAGGAGGCTGCTCTAACCACTGAGCTGTGGGATAGGCTGATAGGGGCTCCCTCCATCTCTCCTGGTGAAGAGAGAAATAAAGAGTGATTGGCAGAGGGGGGACTCTACACATGGTCTCCTAATACCTGGGGCCATTGAGTTATTCCCACTCTTTCTCTCTGTGGTCCATTGACCATTTAAGGATTTATCTACAGTGGAACAGCTTCAGCTGGATCTACTGAGAGAGCCCTACATCAGATTATCCCAGAGCTCAGTTGTTAGAGCACCTTCCTGAGAGTGGAAAGAAGCACTCTGTATCCATTCACTGAGGTGATATATTGTTGAGTGGGAGTGTTTTTCATGAAAGATTAGATCCTGGTTCCTGTGAAGCCAGCCAACTCTGCAACAGATTGAAGTTTGGGGGAAATCCTACTTTATTAGATAGGAAAAGTAACTGCTAATAAGTGTAGGCCCTAATTCACATTTTGACTTTTTTTTGTATTGTAACCATTTGTTTCCATCACTGTCACTTGTTTCTACTGGAGTCTCTATTCTTTCTTAAATAAACCTTCTTTTGTTTCATTACAAGTGTTGTGTGTGATACAGGAATGGTGATTTAAGGTAAAACTGGGATACACTGCTCCTTTGGTGGAAGAGGATCTGGGATTTCTGTGAGTAGCTATTGTCAGGAGCTGGATATCACAGGGGAATACTTCAGTGGATTCAGCAGGGAGGAGGGGGCGGAGAGGAACGAGCAGCGGGTGGGGCCTCAGGGTGAAGAGGCCGAGTGGGTGGAGTGGGGCCCCTTCTCCCCTTCTGAGTGTGAACTCTGCGCCATGGTGCCATCGGCACCCTTGTAAACCTGGTCCTATGTACCCTGAGAATCATCACAGTTTCCCACATCCCAGGTGACTAGTCTAACCACTGAGCTAAAAGTTATAGGGTGGGTTCTATCTCCTTGGGTGGTTTTTAAATGGGGCCTGATGCCAGTAGGTGCTCTCTGAACATGCCTGCCAGATGAAGCCCCATGGGAAAATTAGGTGGTCAAATGCCTACATTCCCTGGTTCATGAATCTCTTTGGGCTTAGGCAGAAGATAAGAGTCTGGATGCCTTGAGTGAGGTAGCAATGTGCATGCCCAGGAGCAGAAACTTAAGTGCCAAGAGAATTTTTACTTTGAAAAACTTAGGCACTAAGTGAGTTTTGGTGCCTACAAGGTTTGGTGGGAGTTTTGTGGGTGGTAGTATGGGACCTAGGTGCCTACATAGCTTTGTGGATTCCACCCTAGCTGCCTAAATCCCAGATTTAGGCACCTAGAGAATCAGCCAGATTCACAAAGACTGAGTCTGGCACCTGGGCAGTAGTTTACACAATCCCATGGGAGACTATGGGGGATTCCAGCAAGAGAGATGTGTCCTAAATTACACATCTCTCAAGGAGTTCAGTGCCTAAGTCTGGGCTGCAGGGAGGCGACGCCTTCTTCTTTGGAAAAAAGAAAAGGAATATTTGCGGCACCTTAGAGACTAACAAATTTATTTGAGCATAAGCTTTCGTGAGCTACAGCTCACTTCATCAGATGCATTCAGTGGACTGAATATGGCTGCTACTCTGAAACCCTTCTTCTTTGGGTTGTTTAGCCCTCTCTTGGAGGTAGGTACCTCTATGGATAACTAATGAAAGAAGAAAAAGCAAGAACGAAAATGCCTCTGTAGCCTGGTGGTTTGCGCACTCACTTGAGAGGTGGGAGAGCCAGGGTCAAGTCCCCCAGCTACAATGACTTTTTAAACAGGAGAGATTGAGGGATCCCTCCCCATCAGAATAACCCAGTGGCAAGGGCACTCACCTGAGAGGTGACAGATCCCTGTTCAACTCCTTTTCCCACTCAAGCAGAGAAGGGATTTGAACTGGGGTTTTCCCCCATCCTGGGTGGGTTCTCTAATCACTGGGCTACAAGTTTTGACGAAAGTTCTTTTCCTCCAGACGTTTTGTGTAAGCTCTGAGCACACTTATTGGATTGGACCCTGCAGGCACGTTAGGCTGAGGAAAACCTATCTGTCCCCAGTTTGTGCATCGCTCGAAGGAAGGGCTGATGGGAGGGAGAAAAGGGAGACAATTGTATTGGGGCTCTGAGCTCGGCCCTCCCCACCCCCAAAAAAATCTGTAATGGGGTAAAATGGGAATTGGTGGGGCCCCTGCAAATACCATGTACTGGGCCTCAAATGTCTCTCGATGGGTCTCACTTTAGGGCTTAAGTGTCTAGATGTCCAGCGTGGGGCTGCAGTATACATGTGCACAGTGAGAAAAACAGGCTTCTAGGGAACTTTTACTGCAAAAATTTAGGTGCTGAGCAAGTTTAGGAGCCAAAAGGCCTTGGGGGCAGCTAAGTGGGGGTTTTGTGTATCTCAGTGGGGCCTGATTCTGGGATGTAGGTGCCCAAAGTGGCAGTTAGGCACCTAAGTCCTTTTGTGAATCTAGCCCTGAGAATCTTTCCATTGAATGAAATGGGTTTTGGATAAGGCTCTTAGCATGGAAGCAGTTATTCTATTTATTTAGATCTGAAGCAATACATTCCACCTTTCCTGGTTGTTTGAAATAAAACATTTATGTGTGTCATAGTTACGCTCTGAACTCTTGAAATTTGTAAAGAAAGTGCATGTAAAGTAGGGGAAGGTGTGTCAATTGTTCCTATTTACAAAAAGGACGGAGGGAATCTGAGTTTTTTTTAAATGTTACTACTACCATTGTTTGCTGAGACATTATTACAGGGAAAGGAAGATTAATATAGGATCCTGTGGATCTTGGCCACATCACAGCAGCTGTTGAAGGTTCAGTCCTGCTCCCATTGAAGTAATGACAAAATTCCAATTGACTTCTATTCTGGAACTCTAGTAGCAGGCAGCTGCTCCTAATAAGGGATCTATAGAGTAGATGCAACCTAGATCTACAGTGGCTCTTTAGGTCATGTCATGATGAGAAATGAAAGAAAAGGCAATGTGGAAGGCACCAACTGGCAGTTGTGATGCTGACATAACCAGCATTTGCATCATGTTCCACAGCGATGAGGATGATGATGGTGTGTTTTTTTTAGGAGGGCAGGAGGGCTAGGTACCAAAGTAATGAGTGCATTATAAGTAACAATCCAGATGCAGTAGGTAGATTAAACAGATGCCTTGATAAATCCAACCCTAAATCTGATGTAGGATGATGTCATAATGGTTATTCATAAAGTTTAAAATTCACTTCTGGTGAAGCTGATATTTAATAAACAGTTCTTTTATTTAAACATTTAAAGTGGCTATGTCACTTTAACTTGCAGCTGAATTCTTCTGGTTGTGTTGTTTACTCAAAGCTTCATATGTTATAGAAAATGACAGTGTTGTGCTTTTACATTTTTTTTCTTAAGTATAATCTGAAGTGTAGCATAAATACAGATGTCTGTTTTACCTCAACATGGATTAATACATTAATGTAGTTTTCAGAAAACAATTCAGCCCTAAAAAGGGATGACATTTATCTTGTTATATTTAAACAGATACAAATACTGGTGTAATGGCTTGAGGAGAGATCAATTACTGGGAAAATGGAGCTGCTTCTTTAGTCCACTTATTAGTGCTCTAGCTTTTATTCCTAATAGCAAAATCAGTAGTTAGGTACATTCTGAAGTGCACTGCTCCTACCTGAACACGATTTAATATGTTCAAACAATCTATAGTTTAAACAAATAAAGTTAGCCAAAAAATGTCAGAAAAGTACCAAATAAGGCCAGAGATACTCCCTGGCTCTGTGAAAAGCTGATTACACAATAATAGTTTCCATAATATTTCCTTTGGTTTTTGACAGTGCAT